GGGAGCGACGGTGGATGCGAATGCGGAGGCTGACGACGAGGCGGATGCGGAAGCGAGGACGGAAGAGGAGGCGGAAGCGGATGCCGATGCTGTTCCGCCCGCGGATGTGGCCGCAATTGCGGATTCGGATGCGGATGTTGTGGCGGAGGCGATACGGATGCTGCGGAGGGAGGTGCTGATGCTGTCTTATTTGACGGTGAAAACTCCGATGACGACCCGTGTAACATCACGGGTGACGACGATGTTCCGCTTCTTAAGCGGAGGCTGCATCATCGCCTACAATCCAAGCCGAAGCGTGCCCGCGTGGTGCTCTCTGATGACGACAGTCCGGGGGAGGAGCGTCAACCGCGCTTTACTGCTGCAGACAAGGGGAAAAGCGCGGTCGCGAAAGCCCCTACTAAGGCCACCGTTCGTCGCCGCACAAGCCACAAGAAGCGGAAGAACGACGGCGACCCCGGATCCAGCACGAGTGCTGCTAAGAAGAAGAAGAAGAAAACGGCAAACAAGGACGACATCGTGGTCAACGAGGTGCTCGATGCTTGACTGCATTTTCCTCGCCCTTTGTTTCTAACCATCCCCTCCTGTCGTGGCGTGTGTTCTCTTTGCAGAGTGCGCTAAGGACTGCGAGTCGTTCTGGAAGTTCGTGCGCATCAACAGGGCGCGGCACAACATCGACCTGGCCCGCATCATCAACGCGGACCAGACGCCCCTCTTCGTTGAGATGCCGGCCGAGAGGACGATCGAGCACCGTGGCGCGCGCTCGGTCCCAATCCGCACCGCAGGGTACGAGAAGACTCGGCTCACGGTGATGCTCGCGTGCACCGCATCCGGGGAGAAGCTGCGCCCGTGGGTTTGGTTCAAGCTGAAGAACATGCCCAACTGTGAGATTCTGGAAGGTAAGCTCAAGGAATTCGGGAGCCGTAAGCCTGATAAGCTTGCCCTCCTTGGCTGACGCCCGTCTATCCCCTATGTGCCTGGCAGGAATCGTATGCCAAGCACAGGACAACGGCTGGATGGACGAGAGCGCCGTGCAGACATGGCTGACCAAGGAGGTGCTGCCCCATCTGAACCCCCAGCGCGGCCAGAACGCGAGGCGTGCGATGCTGGTGTTGGACTCCTACCGCGGCCACATCACCCAGGCCATGCTTCAAGCTTACCGCACGCACAACATCACCCCTGCAGTGATCCCAGCGGGTTGCACGAGCCAGATTCAACCCCTTGACGTCGCCATCAACCGATGCTTCAAGGCTGCTGTGCGAGCGCGTTACGCCAGGTGGTTCATGCGTGAAGGGATTCACCTAAAGACGAAGGCGGGTGAGTAGCCTATTGAATTAAACTTCTGCGCTGTTCTCTTTCCATGACTCTAACAGCTCGCTACCCCTGCCTCTGTCCCACTCGCAGGGAACATGCGGCGGCTTCCGCACCCCGTGGTGCTGCAGTGGATCGCGGAGGCGTGGGATCAAGTCCCCAAGAAGGTCATCATTGAAGCGTTCCGCCACTGCGGGATTTCAAGCAAGCTGGACGGGACGGAGAACCACCTGGTGATGTCTCACCTGCGCGCCAGGAGCACCACCGATGTCTCCGAGGACATGTGCCTTGGGGGAACCACAGGCGACAACATGCGCCTGCTTGGGCAGGCTCCAGAGGAGGAGGAGGAGGAGGAGGAGGAGATGCAGGCGGAGGGCGGAGGGAGGTGGCAGTGGCCTCCGCCCTGGATGTGTTGTATCAGGAGACCCCCAACTACCGCGGAGCGGCGGCTGAGGCTGACCGCATGATCGAGCCTAGGGAGACGGCTAGGCATGCATGGCGAGTGCAAGACCTGGGTGTTAGGGAGCCTGTTGTTAGTGCAGGTGAGGAGGCCGTGACTGAGTAGGGCTAGGTAGAAGTAGAGATTCAGAGATGTGTACATGTACCCCCTTAAAGTAACTAATGTTCGTTTAGAAGACACCCCCCCGTTTATAAGAAAACCCCGAACCCCTGCTCTGATTATAAGACATATATGTCTTATCTCGTACGCACAAATAGGTGTCTTATAATGAGGCTAGCCTGTTTATAAGAGACACCCGGATAATAGACAACCCCTGTCTACTATTCAACACTGTCTACTATCCGGGCGATGACGGTATGGGTTGTCAATACAGTGAACAGTATTGACAACTACTCACTATGCACAGTATGGGAAGGGTACTGTAGCTTATGAGTTTTATTTTCATATTCTATTTAAAATTAATAAATATGGAAATAAAAATTGGCAAAATCGATCGTAAAGGGTTGCTTCGCAACCCAGAAAAGAGGGAAGGAATTGATTCCCCCTGACGCTTGTTGGGCTGATGTGCGTCGCATGAGCCTCTTCAATTCATGCATCAGGTTTCAGACTGATAAGTAGCGGTTCAATACGGTGATGCTCTAAAACCGTTTCTCATTGCGCAGAAACGTACTCAACCGCGCAAGCCGAACCGAAAGTGAACTTCTGTGACGCCCTCACCCTCCTGTTCCCCTCTCTGACTTGGGTATTTTCTGACTTCCCTGAAGATATCCTGCCAAGCACCTCACAGAAGAGAAATTCAGGCTTCTGATTCTTGCAAGGAAGTCTTTCAGGAAGCTTGATTGTTTGTTAGGCGCGAGCTAGCGTCTACAAATGCTGACGTTGGAAGAGGATTGGTGAACGAAGAGTTTTAAAGGGACATGTTTATTTTCACACCAAGCTCGCAGCCTTCTCAGGCGGTGCTACATTACTGAGGACCATCTGAAGAACCATCATGGCGCTGTGGTAGCATCTCATCAGAGGAGAATCTCGGCGTATGACGGTTATTGTTGCTCTTTTAAAACAGTGACTAAGGACTAATTTCTGCGACATGGACGGTGCCAGCTTACTCCCGTCAGAGAATGTGGACATTTTGCTGGATGAGGAACGGGTCTTATTTTGTCCTAAGACTGAACCAACGGACAGTGCTGTTGGAGCAGGCAGTACCGTCGATACAAAGAAGCGTATCAGCCGGGAAGACGGAGCAGACGGCTTGGAACGTGATTCTGACCTCGTCGACGGTTTAAAGGCTAATGCAGACGAGTCGGAAGCGCCAGGCTCCAAAGACGTCGTCGCTTCAGTCAAGGCAAAGGCAACGAAGCGGCGGAAGCCTTCAGTGGTTTTTTCGCAATCTCATTTACATTTACGTGGTGTGCGACAGCGTGCTTGGGGAAAATGGGCGTCCGAGATTCGTGACACGGATAACATTCGCTTATGGCTCGGAACCTTTACGACGGCTGAAGAAGCGGCTTTCGCTTACGACGCAGCTTCTCTGGCCATCCGTGGAGCAGACACCCGGCTGAACTTTGAAAGGAGTCGCATGTTCGCATCGAACATGGCTGACATCAGGGAGCAATGCGGTGGAGTAGTCGGCCCTGCGTTTCGGACTGCTCTCGCGAAAGAAACGGCTCGGCTTATCGATGAAGGAGCTCTTGACGGCATCGTCGCTGACTCTCCGGGATATGCTTATCTGCTAAGGTCGATCAATGTCCCAGCGTCTGTCGGTACATCTGCAGTACCGGACCATATCTCAGAACGTATCGAATCTTTGGCGGAAACGGCGGCACGGCGACGACAGGCCAAGACGAAGCCGGTTCCTGCACCCGTTGAGACCAGGCCGAGACTGTCATTGATTCACAGCAGCAACAAGGCTCCGTCTGTGAGCGCGATTAAGGCCGAACCGAAGTTGGCTCACAAGGCGCAGCATTATATTTATTGTGAGTCAGATGGTGAAAATCCCAAGAGCGAGATTGATGCTCTCTTTGCTTTACGTCGCAGCAGCAACAGCGCTGTTTGTAACTCACATGATCATGTCTCAGGTCCATTGGGATTTGGCGACGACCAATGGTGGCAATCTTCAAGGAGCGGTTTTGAGAATGTTCATGGGAGTTCGGAAGCAGCCACTTTCAGCTACCATGATGGTGCGAACGGCGGTGCATTTGGAGGAAATGTCAGTGGTGGTGGTATGGATGACTGGAGCTCGTACGTGGAAACGGATTCTTTTACCGCAGTTCCCACAGCCGCAACTACCACGGTCACAGATTGTCTCACAGGCGAAGGCGGGAGCGCAAGTGCTACAGCACAGACTGATGCCGGGAAGAAGTTTTGTCGTTCAGGAAGCTGTACAGACATTGTCGACCATTTCTTGGCAGATGGAGAGGAGTGCGAGGACCCTGTGATTCTTCAGGGTATCCGACATAACCACCACATTTCAGGAGGCGACTCAATCCGCACTGCTGACTCGCGAGACAACTCCACTGCCGTTGCTCTCGTGGCCACTGCATATGGTACCAATGCTGCCCCTTCCAATATTTCTTCTCCTGGTGCATTTTCTGACACAAGCAAGGGTCATGCAGGATATGATGATGCAGATGGAATCATCCCTGACTTGCACGGGCTGGCAAAGTTCCTGGAAGATACCCCCATGTCTCCACTGCATCTAGCCTCAGGCAGTCCTGTTTCGACTGAGAGCAACCCCATCTTTGCACAAGACCCAGCACCACTCCACCTTCCAACTGCAGCGCTCTCAGCGCAACAACCATCACCAGCAGCTTCTGAAGTCCCCCAAGCAGCTGTACAGCCCTGTTCACGCCCTCTTGCTACAGCTGTCGAGCCATCTGCTCGTTTGCTCTCCTACCCGAACCTTACCCGTATGCGTGCACCTCCAAGCCAATCACAGCTGCCTCACCCTCACGTCAGTGTCAGGCAGGCACAGGCGCTCATGCTCCCATCGCCTGCGGCTCCTGCATCTCGCACTGACCTGCCTTTGCAGAGAGCGCTGATACAAGCCCCTGCTACTGCTGGCGGTTTCTCTGCTCCACGTATTTCTCCCTCTCTGGTTTCGCCACTCTCACTTCCAATGCAGCGGCCTAGCCCAACCATGGCCCCATCAACTTCTGCTCCTGCATCTCAAGTTTTTCTGCTTCCCACTGCACCTCGCCACTTGCAACTTCCTCCTGCTCCTGCTCTATTACCATCACATCGACCCCTTAGCACCTCCCCTCCTGTCTTCGCTACCAGCAACGCGTGCCAGTGCTGCTGCCATTGTCACTTCAAGCAACAGCAACAGACGCCTCCACAGGGCACAGGCATTTCGCTTCAGGGCGTGATGCAGGGTAACCTTATACCAAAGGTCCAGACAGTTGCCAACACCTGCGTACTGGCTGCTCCTCCTCGTGCCTCCGCAGCTCCCCTTTCCTCCGCAGCTCCCCGTGCCTCTGCCATTTTTCCTGTTACAGCTGCTGCAGCGTCTGGAAGCCCTGCAAAGAACAGCCGCCACCTGTTGGTCATGCCTAAAGTGGGAGTTGCGTGGAGTCTCAAGTCCTGTGACAAACCACGGGAGCAGTCTTTGGATTTGAAGACTTGGTCACAACCACAACTGCATCTGCAGTCAAATCAGCCAGTGGTCCATCAGCCTTGCCAGCCTCGCCAGCCTCACCAGCCTCACCAGCCTCACCAACCTCTGCAGTCTCATCAGCCTCACCAGCCTCATCAGCCTCTTCAGCCTCACCAACCTCACCAACCTCTGCAGTCTGAGCAGCCTCACCAACCTCAGGTGCAGGCATCCGCTCAGGCACAGCATCGAATGCTGCAGCTGCCAGAAGGACAGCCACAGCGTGCAATGCAGCAGGAGATGAGGCCGCCGCAGCAGCAGCAGCGACAAGCATCACTGGTGCAGTTGCCAATGCCGCCTGTGCAGGAAGATAAGGTGGAACGGAAGCAGCGGCAGGAGGAGGTGGTTGGTGGTGCATCTGGTGCTGCCATTCTGGGCGGCAGGTCCCCTCCTCTCCCACGTCCTCCTCTTTCGCCTCCATCTAAGTATCCCACAGGCCCGCTACCGAAACTCACGCCGTTTCTTCTGTCAGCCATTGCCAACAGCAAGGCCAGTGCTTCTACAGTGTTCCAGGTGCAGCACAGCCCCATGACTCCGCCAGATGTGGCGAGCATGTCAGTGGCGCCAGCATCACTTCAGCCTGTAATGGTGTCACCATTTCCTGAGGTTGCGGCTATGCCAACACTTCATCTAAATTCCGGTGCGGCAGGGATTCTCAAGCTCGAAGAAGCACCAGCAGCATCAGCACCTGTTCAGCAAGCACCAGATTCTGCACCTCAGGATGTAGCAACGGCTGCACTTCCTCGGCAAGCACCAGTGTCCGAACCTCAGGAAGTAGCGGCACCAGCACCCGTTCAGCATGCAACAGCAGCATCACCTCTCAAGCAGGCAACAGCAGGCAGAGGCATCATGTAAGCAGGCTGCAACAAGAGCAAGCAGGCAGATGCACCACTCGATCAGGCAGCAGTATCTGCATCACTCAAGCAGGAACCACTTCAGCATCACTGACCTTGCACGTAGCAACATCAATTCGCCACAAGAATCACACATCCTCAATTCAAGGCGTTCAGCAACACAAGCACATATGCAGACAATGCAGTGATCACACCAGCAGTGTCGCAAGGGAGGCACCTCAGGTTAACATCAGTTTAATCACATCCACTAGTCAGATGTCAAATGTTGTAGTCTTAGGGCGCGGTACACACTTGTTCAAAAACTGTTCATGTTGGAATTGACAAACATGTCGTTCAATCGAGCTTGAACGGGGGTCTAACGAGGGTTGTCAAAATTTCGCGTCAAGATGAACTTAGAAGGTACATGTTCCACAAAGGGACGCGCCCGCTTCGTCAAGACGGCACATTTCGACAAAGTGTCACCCCGCTTTCCCAATCGCGACAGCATTGCAAGTGCGAAGCGCAATTTGAAGTGACCCCAGTAACAACTTCGCCATCCAAGTCCCCCAGAGCGCCTACAGCCCTTGCATAAAAACACCAGCAAATGTGCCACGGAAAATCAGAAACGTATTCTACATTCGAAATGCCTCGACGTCAGCTGCTGCTCCTGCTAGGACTCTTGCTCCATGGCTTCGTCACCTCAGTGGTAGTAGTAGTACCCGTGCTGTTAGGTGCCGCAATGACCATTCCGAGCCTTATAGTAACTATCGCAGTTTATTCCGGCCGTCTATTTCTCAACACAGACCGACGGACCGTACGTGCTCGTTGGAACACCGTCTTGCAATGTCTTCCCACGCTAATGTTTTACGAGCAATTCAGAGTTGAGCGTCGTGTTTTCTTCTTCCTAGTAGCCGAGTACTCCGCATGGATTGTCAAAACTGTTTTAGTCCTTACTTTGTGTAGGCTATAGTGGGGTAGCCCATATGGGGTACAACCCAACTAGGGTTAGTACTTGTACCCAACTTCTGTTCAATGCATTCATTCTCGTTCAGTAATTCTAACACGGTTTCAGAGCAGGTCCTTCCTTAGGACCGATTTTTTTAGGGCCCACCACAGCGCTTCCCTACTAACTGCCCTACCTGGCGCGCCGCCTTGCTTGCCTGTCGCGCCGCCCTTTCCAGCCCGCGCGCCATCCTTAGCAGCCCGCTCGCCGCCCCTGCAGCCCGCTCGCCGCCCGCTCGCAGCCCGCGCGCCGCCCCTGCAGCCCACTCGCCGCCTGCTTGCGGCCCGCTCGCCGCGTGCCCCCTCCACTGTTCCACGGGTGCACTGTCCCTCAGCTACCCACCTTTACTGCCTCCCTCGCCACTGCCGCTACATACGTGACCGCAGCTGCTGTTACGACTTCTTCGCGGTCTCGGGGTAGGAGTGGCAGGAGGGGCAGTCAGGGTGCGGGCGGAGGCGGCGGAGGCGGTGGGGGTGACGTGGCGAGCGGCGGCGGCGGGAGTGCAGGCGCTAGAGGAGCGCCTCACGCAGCGGCCGGTGACTCCCCTGCTGCAGCTGGTGGAGGTGACGCCCGGGTTCATCAGCCACCTACTGGTCTGCCACCCGTAGGGGGTGGAGCAGCGGCGTGGTACCTGACTCGACGACAGCAGCAGCACCAGCAGCCCCTCCCCTCGCAGCAGCACCAGCAGCCCCTCCCCTCGCAGCAGCCACAGCAGCAGCAGCAGGTTTCGGGGCAGGGGTCAGGACAGTGTCAGCTGCAGCGCGGTGTCGTCCACCCTCCCTGCACCTATCACGTTCTGACAGGTGCCCACCGCAGCCAGCCTTGTGGCCGCAGCCACCCACCGGGTCAGTGCTTTGCTCGGCTTACTGACACGGTTCAATTGGCCTACGGCGTTGACGGCCCTGCCCCTTACTGGCTTCCCCTTGTTCAGACGTACGGCCCCGCTCTGTGGGGCATGTCGGCTTCTCAGTTGGTTGATCTCTTAGGAACTCCTCATGCTATGTATGCTGTTGTTGAATCTAGTGCTTCTGACTTTGTTTACTCGAGTGTTGTTAGCTTAGGTGCTAGTCTTGTTGAGGTGCCTGTTGCTAGTGTAGGTACTTGTGTAGACACTAGTCAAGGAGCTGCTCCGGAGGACGCTTCGCTGTCTTTCACTCTGGACTACGGAGCTTCCCGCTGTTTCTTCCGCGACCGCACAACACTTACCCCACTTCCTACGCCGGTCTCTGTAGCACTGGCTGATCCCACTTCGGGACCAGCCATTGCTCGCTACACTACTACGCTTACGTGCCCCGCTGTTCCCTCCGGTTCTCTGACCGGCTTCCACGTCCCCTCGTTCTCGAGGAACTTGATGGGCGTGAGGCCGCTCGTGAGTCAGCACGTGGGTGTGTGGATTGAGCCTTCTAGCGAGACTTGCGGTTTGTGTCGACGGGGACACGTACGCGCCTCTCGCCACCTTTACCGCTGAGCCGGGCTCTGGTCTCTACACACTTCACACTGGCCCCTGAGGGCAGCAGCAGCAGCAGCGGCAGTAGCAGCAGCAGCAGCAGCAGCAGCTACTGCCTCCGACCCCTGTCACTGTCCCCCGCCAGGTTCCCGCGTCTCACCAGGTTGCCGCGTCTCCCCAGGTAGCTGTGTCTGGTCAGGTTCTAGTATCTGGTCCAATTGCTGCATCGTGCTCCTGTCGATCGTTTGCCCACCCCACTATTTTGTGGCACCACCGGATGGGGCACCCGTCCATTTCTCGCCTGCGCGCTATGTCTAGCCAGCGTCTTGTCTTAGGCCTCCCGCGTGTCTTGCCGTCGTTGCCGCCTTCACTTGCGCCACCCTGCAGTCTCTGCGTCAAGGGTCGGCTGTGCGCCACCCCTCACTCCTCCTCCCTTCGTCCAACCACCAAGCCCTTCGAGACTCTCCACTTGGACGTCTGGGGCCCCGCCTCGTGCCCTGGCCCTGAGCGAGAGAGTTTCTTTCTCGTGGTCGTTGACGACTACTCCTGCTACACCACAGTTTTCCCCCTGGCAAAGAAGTCCGACGTGACTTCTACGCTGATCCGGTGGTTGCTTACCACTGCGGTCACTCATGGTCGTCGTGTCAGCTGTCTTCACTCCGACCGCGGGGGTGAGTTTCACTATGGCATTCTCGCTAGATTCTGACACGAGCAGGGCATCCACCAGTCCTGGACGCTTCCAGAGTCCCCACAGCAGAATGGGGTTGCTGAGCGCCGCATAGGCTTGGTCATGGAGATCGCCCGCACCTCCATGACTCACGCCCGTGCCCCCCATTTTATGTGGCCCTACGTAGTTCGGTACGCCGCTCACCAGCTGAACCTCTGGCCACGTGTCTCTCGGCCAGAGGTTTCACCGACTAGTCTTTGGACCGGGTCCCCTGGTGCTGCGTCGCGTTTTCGTGTCAGGGGTTGCTTGGCACTTGTTTGCGACACCTCCGCGGACAAGATTTCGCCTCACGCTGTTCCCTGCATGTTCCTTGGTTTCCTTGAGGACTCGTCTGACTACACCTTTTACCACCCTCCCCTTCACCGGTTCTTTGACTCTCGTGACGTCCGTTTCGACGAGTCCGTCCCCTACTACGTCAGGTACCCCTGTCGAGGTCTCCCGGTTCCTCCTCCCCCTCTCTTCCTAACTTCAGCTCCCCCTCCTGCTCCCCCGGTACAGCCTCCCCCCCCTGGTCCTGCCCCGTGAGGTGTGTCCCACGCTACCCCTCCCCCCTCGGTAGCCCCTCAGTTGTAGCCTCCTTCCCCGCAGTCCTCCTCCCAGCCTACAGCAGACCCTGCGGGATCCGGTTTTCGTGTTGAGGACCCTGGAGGTGCCAGCTCTAGAGGTGCTGGAGTTGGAGCAGAGAGCGTACCTGTGCGAGGTCCTGGTTCTAGGGGTGCTGGAGTTGGAGCTGAGCCCGTCACTGCAGGAGACTCTAGTCTTCGAGGAGCTGGTGTTAGTGGAGCTGTCCCTGGGGGTGCTACGCCTGGGGGTGCACCTTCTGCTGGACCTGGAGAGCCTGGGATGGACCTTGTTACTTCTGGTGGTGCTGGCTCTGGGGGTGGTGCGACTGGTTCTTTGGAGAGCGGTCCTGGGGCTACCACCGCTCCGGACACTGCTCCTCCCCCCCACCCCTACCCGACCCAGCACCAGGCCCGTGTTCGCTGTGCCCGTGAGGAGCAGCTGGAGCTGGAGCGAGAGGAGAGAGAGTTGGAGCGGCAACAGCTGGAGCTACAGCGGCTGGAGGAGTAGCAGCAGCAACAGCCGGAGTAGGGGCAGCCGCAGCAGCAGCCGCAGCAGCAGCCGCAGCAGCAGCAGCAGCAGCAGCAGCAGCAGCAGCAGCAGCCACCTCCTCCTCCTGTCTCTGGTCTTCGGACCCTCGGTCTCCCCTCTCCTTCTCCTCCCTCCCCCCCCTCTCCTCCCGTCTCTGGTCCTCCGCTTCCTCCTCCTGACCTCTCCCCAGCTGTTTTCCCTTCTCTGCCCCCATTGTCCCCTCCTATTTCTCACACTTGGCCTTCGCGTCGCTCTCCTCGTGCTCGTCCCTCGTCCCCTGTTCCCTTCACTGACCTTCGTACTGTCCTCTTTCGTTCTA